GGGAAGTCCTGATTTCACAGACAGCAAGGAAAAAGAGAGAGGAAAGAGGGAGAGAGGGAGGGAGGGAGGAAAGGAAGGAGGGAGGGAGGGAGGGAGGGAGGGAGGGAAGGAGGGAGGGAGGGAGAAAATAGAGAAAAAAGACGGGAAGGAAGAATACAGAGCCAGGTGAGCATTAGTGACAGAAGTATGAAACACTATGAAGACCTATAGCTATAGTGAGGTTAAGAACTTTGCTATAGAAAGAACGTCCCAGGTCAAATAAGATACCTGGACTTCATTTGCTGCTAGAGGGACTTGGAGGGGACTATCTCAGGTGGTCTACAGCCTACAGGCCAACAGGGCAGGTGACATTTCAAGGCTTGGAGCACATGCCTTAACTAAATTTGTCTTTATAGAGTCAGGTCTCTGCTTTGCCCCTGAAATCACCATTTCCCTCTGTAGTGCATGAAGTGCAAACACCTATGTTTGGCAGGTAGGCAGGCAGAATTGTCATCATCCCAAGGAGCTTTCCCCCAATACTGATTCCCTCTGCCCAAAGCCTTCAGGGAAAGCTTCATGCAGTCTGAGTGGCCTTCAAAGCTGACCTGAGTTGTGTAGACCATGGGGGTTGAGCTCAGCTTTCAGAGGATAAGCACTAGGCAGCTTCATCTCTTACCCAACAGGTAAACTACCCGTCAGCTGGGCCACTCAACAGTGCACCCCTCCAGGCTCAATGCAGAGGTTCTGGGACTCATCTGGTGAACTGTGGTGACCATCTCCTGCTGCTCACAAGCAGAACCAACTACACCTAGTGCTCTTACTGAGCTCCCTGGGATTGTGAGCCATACCCTTCATCTGGATGAAGGTGTTCTTGTCTTTCCTAGCAACTACCCTAGATGTCAATGACCTACATATACCATGACCATGAATCAGGATGGCCTAGAAAAAGGGCATTCCCTATCTGAACTAGCCAGTCCCAATAGCCCAGGACCCCAAGACCCTTCCTTGTGAGGCAGAAGAGAGGTTTATAATTCACCATGAACCACATGAGAAATATTTCACCAGCCTGACAGGTCAGAACAGTTAATTTCTAAGACATATGTCAGAATATGAATATTCTCAGGATTAAACTGGTTCATAGAAAGTTCAGTTAGCCCTGGCCAGGTGGCTCAGTTGGTTGGAACGTCATCCTTTACACCAAAAGGGTGTGGGCTCAATCCCTGGTTGGGGCACGTGCAGGAAACCTATCAATGTTTCTCTCTCACATCAAGGTTTCTCTTTCTCTCTCCCTCCCTCCCTCTCTCTCTAGAAATTAAAAACAACAACAACAACAACACATATCCTCAGGTGAAAATTTTTATTAAAGTTCATTTAGCTCAGCTATATGGTCTTTTCTACCAAAGCGGCTTCATATTTCTCAATAAATCTTTATTTGGACAATGCTGAGTAGTCCCCCTTCCATGTCAATTCCTTCAGGAAGGTTTTTATTCTGAAAGCTGGCTCTGTAATCACTCTGGGACAATATGGGTTTGTTAGAGCCACGTGGACATCCTGTATGTGAATGCACGTGTGTGTGATTCAAGAAGTAGGCCCAATTCCAGGTGTCCAGCGAAGAAAAGGCTCTTCTCTTGACATAGATAAGTGAAGTTAAGGGAAAGAAAACACAAGAGGAGGAAGCCAGGAGAGCAACACTGAGTCCCTAGACCTGGTTCTCTTGAAAATCCAGTTTTCCAAAGCTGGCACTGTGGCTGAGAACTGCTCATCACCACCACAGCAGAGCTCAGCCTGGCACTCCCAATACCAGCACCAGGACTTTCTAGGAGGCCAGCCCCGGAACCAGTTCTACTCAGAGCCTCCAACATTCCTTTAGAGTGACGAGCTGGACAAAAAGACCCAATGTCTCCCTGTGCAGACCAACTGCTACCCTGACTCTGCCAACAAGCAGGTACACATGCACACGCATGCACACATGGACACGCCAGCACACACACATTCCCAGTCCTCTCACAAGGGGAGGTGCAAATGAGAAAGAGGGCGGGGCTGCACGCCAGCTGCTCTCTGTACCCTGCTGCTACTTACGTTCCTGTATGCTGCTCTCCTGGGCCATGTTTTCTTTGCTCTTGTAAAATGGGAACTTTCGAGAGAGGCGGAAACTCTTTTTACGTTTCGTTTTGATCGACTGTGAAAGAACATGAAGATGGAGGGGAAGGACAGAAGAAGAAAAACAAAACAATGGATTTTAAAGCATGCAAGAAAAACTAAAATGGAGACAATGGTGAGCTAAATAAAAGACCATTTTTCACAAATGGAGTCTATGAGATTAAATGAAAGTTGATGTAAGAGGAAAATTATGTTTACAGGAAAATGTTGTAGGGATGTTAGACGTTTCTACCTAATCCAGACTCACAGCACTCACTGGTACTTCCTAAAGCACAAAGGTCACTGTAGCCACCTGGACACATGCCCTAAGATGCTACTGATAACTTCCCTCTACTGCTACCATCGGAACTTCTTTGGCCTGTGAAGCTCATAGAAGAACAGGAGTGAGTGGAAAGAGCCCTCGATCCTCATTTGGTCTGAAGGGCAGTCAGAGCTGAGGGGCTGCCTCCCTGGCTAGATGATGAGGCCAGATTCTGTTCAGGGTCCCCACAGCTCCAACAGTGTCTGCAGCCAGGGAGACACCCACAGTTGTTTCATGTGCCCCAAGCCAGTCAGCCTTGCCGACACTCCAACTCCATCACATCAAGAACCAGTTCCCCAGGAAAAGGAGCACACACACGGGCCGGGGAGTTTGAGGGCCCTCTCTCTGTTCTCAGAAAAGCAGTCAGTATGCTGATAGGACAGAGCCAGCCCCTGACAAAAAGGGATTCTTTTGTTGTCCCCAGTTCTCTTATCCACCACACAGACTCCAAGCTTCTTACTCCTCTTCACATATTGGCTGACTCCCTTGGGGATCCCCACTTACCCTATTAGACTCAATCATGCCCGTCCTGGCATGGAACTTCACGGTTTTCAATCGAGCTCTTTCTTTCTTTTCCACCCTGTTTTGGAAACAGAAACAAGTCCTATTACTGCCAGTGCATAGTCTCAGCAGTGGATTGCAATGGACACAGCAACCACCTTTTGGTTCATTGAGTCATAACCATGTCCTGAGTACCAACTCTCTACCAAAAAGGAATAATGAAGCAAACCCCCTGCAAGCAACTTACAGTATAATCAGCAAAAAAGAAATCAGTACCAAGGAGAGGATGAGGAAGGCCTCTCTGTGATCATGACAACTCACCTCTTCTTACTGGGGATCACACCGATTTGCTCGCTTTCTCCATGTGGGGTCACCAGTCTTGCCTGCCACCACTCATCATCAGAGGCATTAATAACATGCAGAATGTCACCATAGGAGAAGCTGAGCCCCTGGCTTGGCAGGCAACTGTCCCGTGTCCGGTCATAATCAAACAGGGCCCTGAAACGCACAGTGGAAGATGAAGTGACCATTGTAACCCTCAATGCCAAGTAGCCGACACTCTGAAAGGATGGCATTGAAAGGCCAACCCACAGGGTCAGCGCAGATCCAACAGCCTCACAGTAGCCCAGAAAAAATTATTTTCTGTCAGCCCGACATTAATATGTGCCAGGTTCTCAAACAAACATTTTATTCCCCATCAAGGGACAATCTTTCTGACTCCCATCTCTTCCCAGCTTCTAGACACAAGAAGACACTCAATAGACCTCTCCCTCACCCACATCCTAGGGCAGTGATGGCGAACCTATGACACGCATGTCAGAGGTGACACGCGAACTCATTTTTTTGGTTGATTTTTCTTTGTTAAATGGCATTTAAATATATAAAATAAATATCAAAAATATAAATCTTTGTTTTACTATGGTTGCAAATATCAAAAAATGTCTATATGTGACATGGCACCAGAGTTAAGTTAGGGTTTTTCAAAATGCTGACACGCCGAGCTCAAAAGGTCACCATCACTGTCCTAGGGAAACAAATTAGCTCTACCAATGGGCTTTCTCTATTTACAAATGTATCCTCAAAAAGCAGTTGAAGATAGGACATAAAAATGTTAACTACAACCCAAACAATGAATGGTATAGAATGGTATTCGATGCTGTAGAAACACAAACGAGAAAAGGGCCCTGTGTCCTGGGGCAGCCAAGGAAAAAGTTAAGGCTGATGTTGACCCACATGATGATAAAGTTGAAAGGGACCCTAAGAAGTCTCCTAGTTCAGTCTGTCTCTCTGTCTGATATATACATATAAGAAAATAGAGGCTCTGAGAGCAAGAATAATTTGATATAGATCACACAGTTAACTAACGTGGGACAGAAGTCAGGTCCTGTGACAAGCCATGCAGAGCGAAGAGATAAAGGGGACAATGGAAGAAGGTTGGGAGGGAGCTATACCATGCAGGCTTGAGAAAGAGGAGGTACAGCTGGAAGTCATAGGAAATGAGGTTGGAAATAAAGATCGAAGGCACATTTTAGAAGGCCTCTGAAGATTTGAGAGTAGGGAAGTGATACTTCAAGACAGACTTAAGAACATAAAGCTGACTTCATATGTAATGGGATAACAGGGTAGAGGTGGATTTGAAGGCAAATTTAGACTGAAGCTACAAACTCAATCCTTGAGGATCCACAGCTGACTTGGGCTCTGGTGAAGCTGGTCTTTTACACCAGAGCTCCTGCCCAGGGAACAATTCACCTGCCTGAAAGTGTCTCCTGTTAGCCTCCACTGCATCTCTCCTCAAATGGAGTTCCCACAAATGGGTGACTTCCGTGAGAAGTTTGTATTTTTTCTACTTGCAACCTAGGCTCTGGTTGTCTTCTTCATTTTCCCATTAACACCTCTGCACACACAGCCTGGTGGATTTCCCAGAACTAGTCCAAGACTTAGACATCTACCTGCAATAAGTTGTGCTAGGGCTCAGATGGAAGCTGCCGAGGAAAACACACTATTTCCTCACGTGCAGGCCCAAATGGAATACAGAATATAGTAAAAAAAAAAAAAAAACAAAAAAACAAAAAAAAAAAACCTGTGGAGAGTGAAATACCCATTGACTTTTGAAACTTCTTGAAACAGAATCCTTAAGAAATCAGTGTCAAGTCCAGCCTGTGTGACACAGTTGGGTGAGCATCGTTCATACATCAAGTGGTCACTGGTTTGATACCTGGTCAGGGCACATACCCGGGCTGCAGGCTCAATCCCCACTAGGGGCCTGCCGGAGACAGCAATTGATGATGTTTCTCTCTCACTGATGTTTCTATCTCTCTCTCCCTCTTCCTTCCTCTTTCTCCAAAATCAATTTAAAAACATTTTAAAAAAAGAAATCAGTGTCAGATTATTTAAAAATGATAATACCTGCCCTGGCCAGTTTGGCTCAGTGGATAGAGCGTCGGCCTGCGGACTGAAAGGTACCGGGTTCGATTCCGGCCAAGGGCACATGCCCGGGTTGCAGGCTTGTGGAAAGCAGCCAATCAATGATTCTCTCTCATCATTGATGTTTCTATCTCTTCCTCCCTCTCTCTTAAATCAATAAAGAAATATATTTTTTAAAAAATTAAAAAAAATGATAATACCCAAACTCTGAAGAAAAGCCCTTTATCTCCCTTGTCAAGTTACACGTTTAGACTAGTAAGGAGAGAGGCCAAGGCCAGCAGGGTGAAGGAGGTGCTTGCTCTGTCTCAAAGTTCTGAGTTCTGTGTGACACAATCAAATCTGAATGTGTTTGTGCTGCACTTGAGACTGCATTTCCTGAAGCAAGGAAGGCTTTCTGGAAGTTGTTCCTACAAAGATGAGCACGGTGAAGACGTTATTCTAAGTGACAATGAGAAACACTAAATGGCATTATGAGCGTCAAAGGTCAAAACAAATGTAGTAAAGAAAACAACAGAACTTGGATGAAGCCCCAATTAGTTTGGGGAGGGACTAAAGCAAGATATTAAAATGACCAAGAGAAATTGGGCTCTAGCTGGTTTGTCTCAGCGGGTAGAGTGTTGGCCTGCGGACTGAAGGGCCCTAGGTTAGATTCCGGCTAAGCACATGCCTGGGTTCTGGGCTTGATCCCCAGTACGGGGTGTGCAGGAGGCAGCCGATCAATGATTCTCTCTCATCATTGATGTTTCTATCTCTCTATCCTTCTCCCTTCCTCTCTGAAATTAATAAAAATATATTTTTTTAAAAAGAGAAATTGGGATGAGGTTGTAGAAGATTAGAAGGGAGTTTACTGGTTACAAGTTTAAAGCACAAGAAAAGGGGTGAATAGGCAAGGAATTAATATTTTTATATATGCTATTATAATATTTGAGATTTTAAACTGTTCATTGATTTCATTAAAGTTAAATTAAAATAATAAGCTCATTATAGTATACTTTAAAATATTTTTCTTAATTATTTTTAAATATTTATTGAATTTATTTGGGTAATATTGGTTAATAAAATTATATAGGTTTCAGGAATTCTATAATACATCATCTGTATATTGTATTATGTGTTCATCACCCTAAGTCAAGTCTTCTACCACCATTTATCCCCTCTATACCCTCTTCTACCTCTTCTCACCCATTTCCTTCTAGCAATCATCATAAAGGGTTGTCCGTGTCTATGAGTATTTCTTTTTGCTTAATCCCTTCACCCTTTTCATCCAGCTCCCAACCACCTCCCCTCTGACAGCTGTCAATCTGTTCTCTAAGAATCTGTTCATATTTTGTTTTAGTTTGCCCATTAGATTCCACATATAAGTGAAATCATATGGTATTTGTCTTTCTCTGACTGGCTTATTTCATTTAGCATAATACTCTCCAGGTCCATCCATGCTGTTGCAAAAGGTAAGGAAAATATCAGGTCTAAGAAAAGAAAAATCACATTTAACATTACTTAGAAATAACCACTCTTTGGCAAATATGTTCTCCCATGCAGTGGGCTTTCTTATTGTTTTGTGGATGGTTTCTTTTGCTGTGCAGAAGCTTTTTATTTTGATGTAGTCACATTTGTTTATTTTCTCCTTAGTCTCCATTGCCCTAGGAGCTGTGTCTGTAAAGATATTGCTACGACAAATGTCTGATATTTTGCTGCCTATGGATTCTTCTAAGAGTTTTATGGTTTCCCATCTTACATTTAAGTCCTTTAGCCATTTTGAGTTTGTTTTTGTGTACAGTGTAAGTTGGTGATCTAGTTTAACTTTTTGCATGTATCTGACCAAATTTCCCAGCACCATTTATTAAAGAGGCTGTCTTGATTTCATTGTATCCTCTTGCCTCCTTGTCAAATATTAATTGAGTATAATGGCTTGGGTCAATTTCTGGGTTCTCTGTCTGTTCCATTGGTCTACATGTCTGTTCTTGTGCCAGTACCAGGCAGTTTTGAGTACTGTGGCTTGGTAATATAGCTTGATATCTGGTTTTGTGATCCCTCCAACTTTGTTATTCTTTCTCAGAGAACTCATACAACTTAACAAAAGGAAGATAAACAATCCAATCAAAAAATGGGCAAAGGACCTAAATAGACACTTTTCAAAAGAGGACATACAGAAGGCCGAGAGACATATGAAAACATGCTGAAAGTCAGTAATCATCTGAGAGATGCAAATCAAAACAACAATGAGATACCATCTCACACCTATCAGAATCACTATCATCAACAAATAAACAAACGACAAGTGGTGGTGAGGAGGTGGAGAAAAAGGAACCCTCATGCACTGCTGGTGGGAATGCAGACTGGTGCAGCCACTGTGGAAAACAGTATGGAGTTTCCTCAAAAAGTTAAAAATGGAACTCCCATTTGACCCAGGGATCCCACTTCTAGGACTATATCCCAAGAATCCAGAAACACCAGTCAGAAAGGATATATGCACCCCTATGTTCTTAGCAGCACAATTTACAGTAGCCAAGATTTGGAAACAGCCTAAATGCCCATCAGCAAATGAGTGGATTAAAAAACTGTGGTACATCTACACAATGGAATACTATGCTGCTATAAAAAAGAAGGAACTTATACCATTTGAAACAGTATGGATGGACCTGGAGAGCATTATGCTAAGCAAAATAAGCCAGTCAGAGAAAGATAAATATCACATGATCTCACTCATATGTAGGATATAATGATCAATGTAAACTAATGAACAAAAATAGATCCAGAGACAAATGGCGGGTGGGGGGTAAGAGAGCAACCAAAGGACTTGTATGCATGCATATTAGTATAACCAATGGACACAAACACTGGGGCAGTGGGGGCTTACCTTCAGGGATGGGAGTGGCAGGGGGGTGTCAATCAGGGGAAAAGGAGACATATGTAATACTTTAAACAATAAAAAAGTAAATTAAAAAAAGAAATAACCACTCTTCATATTTATGTGGTATCGTATAATATTGTGTAATAAACACACAAACAAAAATATACATATTTCACTAAGTTGGAAACATGCTGTGCATACATAATTTTGCAACCTTAGTTGT